CTGGCGGGCGCAGGATGAGGCCCCGGGCTTCCCCGGGTCCGCCCCACGCCTTCCCCAGCCTGGCGCTTGCGCAACCTGCCCTTTGCCCAGTTTCTTAGGAGCAAACGCCGCCGTCCAGATAAGCTATCGTCCATGGGGCCTGGTGGCATGGCCCAGCCAGCTCCCTCTGCTCTTCCTCCTCGCCCTCCCCTTGCCTTCCTCCCTCCCCAAAATGTGGGCTCCTGCCCCTCCCTCGCCAGTCTCTCCAGAGGGACCCCTGGCCCCGGCATCGCTGTCAGCCGGCATCACCTTTGCACCCAGCCGGGTGATGTCCCATCCCCGCCACGTGCCCCTCGTTGCCAACTGCTCCCAGCCCTGCCGGTCTCGGCCATGGTGGCACCGGCTTGGTTAATGTCGAGCGAGCTGCGCCCTGTCCCTGGTGGGATCCCGGTGATGGCGGTGCCGCGGACTGAGCGCTCTCTCCCCTGCCCGCAGGCTTCGGCATCAGCACCCGCTTCTGGGATCACCCCTTCCGGACACTCATCCCCGAGGAGACCTTCGAGAAAGAGGACTGAGGGCCCCCCCGCGGTGCCCGGCTGCCAGCTCTGTCCCTCCCGGGCTGGGGCTGGCATCCCTCCCCAGCCCTCGGCGAGGGGGGCTGGCCTCTTCCCCCTTCCCAGGGGCTGTGCCACAGCGGTGGCCCCACACCGGAGCATCCCCCTGGTGCGCTGTGGTCCAGCTGTGGCACGGCCAGGGGGGGCGAGGATGCGGGGAAAGGGGATGAGGAGGTTGCGGGGCTCCCTGGGGGGGCTCCTGCCCCTTCCTCGCCACCCTCCCGCTCCAGGTCACGGATGCGCGGGCAGGTCTGCTGCCCGAGAGATGAAGTGCCCGATGCCGCCCTCCCTCCTCCGCCCCGGCACCTCGCCGGAGCCCCCCTGAGCCCCTGGCCCTCCCGGGGTGCCCCCTCCCTGGGTCATCCAACATGCTGCAGTTAACCCCATCACCTAACTCGTGCCGAGGGGCTTCCGTATCCCGGGTCCTTCTCCGGCCCGATCCCAGCACAGGGTTTTCTTGGCCTGCGGCCCTTGGGGTGGGGATCCCGCAGGTCTGGATTTTGCCTTTTTCTAACCAGTGCACCCGTATCTCTCTGCCAGATTTATCAAGTTCATGGTTTTTGTAGACATTGGCTACTTGAAACTCAAACTCCAATGAACAGAATTGCTACGAGATGCCTTTTTTTGCTGATCCTGTGATTTTATTTTTTTTTCTAATGTTTACTGCGGATATTTAAAGGTTTGGAATAAAGTTATATGTAAAACTGTAGACACTACAATTGTAAATAAAGTGTATATTTTGAAAAATAAAGCCTTTTAAAAAGGGTCTGGCAAGTGTATCCCTCGGGGCTGCTCCCACCTTCTGTCACCCTCGGTGCCGTGGTACCTTGCGGTCGCCTTTCTCGGCTCCCTGTGCTGACGAAAGCCGTGTTGTCGACCACGGTGGTGGCGAGGAAGATGCTCTTTGCCGGGAGAAATCGTGGCAAACCTGCGTGACCCCGAGCTCTCGGTAAGTGGAAGCTGGTCAGAGCCACCGCTCACTTCTCCGAAGTTGCGCAACAGCATCACGTACCACCCCGTGCTTACCCAAATCAGCCTGGCCCTCTGACGAAGCCAGCCGCAAAGTTTCCTGCACTCCCGGTAGAGGTCAAGCGTTGTTTCCAGCACTTTCTTCGATGCCGGGGGTTCCTGGGGCTGCAGGGATGGGGAGGGGAGCAGAAGGTCCCAAAATACCAGCGTCGCTCATGCGGGACAGGTGTACTCCGGAGGGTCCCGCTGCCCGGTGCGGGGGTCACAGAGCTGATGCCGAGGGTGTTACAGCGCCCTGGGCAAGCCTTGCTGGAGCCGGCGGCGCAGCAGAAGGGGTTGGGGTGCTCAAAACAGCAGCAAGTGTCAAGATGGGGGGCACAGCCTCCCCCCATCCCCTTCTTCCTGATGCACTTCTGCAGGCAATTCCTTCCAGCTGGCAAAACCCAGCGCGGGGGGGATACAGCCTGCCTGGCCCCTTCCTCCACCACCCCCAGCAGCTTTCTGGGAATGGGGAGCCGCAGCGGGTTGCACAATGCCCCTTCCGCTGCCCACGGCAGCAGCATCCGGGGAAAGCACCCTATAAAATCACGCTCGTCCTGCCGTGCCTCTCCAGTCTGCAGAGGCAGCCGAGGCGGAGGCGGGCGGAGCACGGGCAAGGTAAACCAGCCGGTTTTTCTTCACACGC